TCCCCCCCCCCCCCCCAAAGAACGCTCTGCAGCTCAGCTTGCTGCTCAGTTGCCCTGGGGCTGCAGTGCCAAAGCGAAGTATAGTCCAGCCTCTGCCGTTGGCTTGTTCTGCTGGGTTGAAATAGTTAACTATTTATCTATTATGGTTTTTTTTAAATATTGTTAAGCCTAAGTCACTTTGGGTGCTTAGTGCAAGCAGAAAAGCGGGATACAAATATTTTAAATAAATAAATAATAGTCCAGAATTGCACTTACAACTTTTAAAATTATAATGTTTTAAAACAATATAGATGCTAGTCTATACTGTGTGTTGTTTAACATATTAATTTGTTTACTTGCATAAGATTCCTTAAGTAGACTTTTTCTCAGATAATGTTGATCCACCACTTGGTTGTTTTAGCTTTCTGTGTACGGCTTGTACTCTTTCGGGACAGTTTTTACATGTTATTATATGTTTCTTCATTCTTGTTGAGTTGTTAGCGTGCTCTTGCCCACAATTCTTACATCTGCCAACTTCCTTCCTTCAGTAGCTTGAACTTCACTATAATGATGCCACTCACTAGTATTTTTTTCTGATTAGGCATTATTATGACTACTTGAAACCAAAAGCACTAAAAAACTAACAGATTTTATGCAAACACTTCCAACTTCCCCAATTCAAGAAAAGGAAAGACATGAGTCACTGCTCTTGTGTGTTTTCTGAACTGAAAGTAAAACAAAAATTAATCACAGTTTTAGTTTTGGTTTTGCTTTCACTTGCAGTCTGAGATGAAATAAGAATTTTATCTTTGGTTTTGATTTCACCTGCACAGCCAATTAGGTGAATTCATAACTTGAGTTTTGGTTTGGATTATTATGTGACTGTATTTACCCTCCTGTTTACAAATCCAATAAAACATATATGTACTCCCTCACATACTTCCTAGGAATAATCGCCTGAAAAACATTAATTACAACTTTGAAACTGCCAAGCTTGCCTGATGTTGTATTGGCATCCATTCATTATTACTATTGAATTTTAAGAAACGGAAAATTTCCCACGGAAAAATATAGCACTGGAAAATTTTCCGCCTCATATCTCTGTACTGAATATTTTGGAGACCAGTCATCAATTTATGCTCTAATCTTGTTGGTTTTTATCATTTTCATTCTAACTTGCTCTGAGGTTACAAAAACAAATTTCTGGGTGCTTGTTCTCAACTAGAAACTAATATACTGTATTCTAAGAAATTATCAAAATATTTTTATGCAAATATTTTTTTCTCATCGTTATACTAGAAAAACTGGTTTTGTTCATGAAGAAACTCCATGGAGTGTCCAAATATATTTTGTAAATTTAATTTAATAGAAATGGCCTTGTGAACTAGCCTATCATTTGTAGTATCCATAACATGTAGTGCAGTTTGTTTTGTTTTTAATTTGATGTTACACACTTCAGAAATATCACATGTCATTTCATGGGAATAACCACAATTGCCAGTGGTCTTTCAAGTCCAGTTACTTTGACTTTGGTAGCTCCTCAGAACTTTAGTTGGAGTACTGGATGCCCAGTACTTCTGAAGATCAATTTCCCTGTTTAGTTTGGTTTGTATTAGAGTTCTTCTGTGAACTCCCAAAGGAAAGGGATGGACCCAGTCAACACTTGAGCTATAATGTACAAAGGAAGAAACCAGTGGTACAGTGGTAATTAGGCCATTCATGTGGTGAAGTGTCAGTTTTTCCTATTTGAACAGCCTTTCCCTTGCACTGAAGTATCCAGATTTTCACACTTGTATGAAGTATGCTTTTTCACACTTGAATTTTAAACATTTTTTGAAAGCAGGTTGTTTTGATTCTGTGATGTTCTTGTTAAGATATAGCATTTATTAAAATCAATTTTTTTTTCTTAAGGAGGAATTCAGAGAGCTGCGGGAACAACCAATTGATCCTCAAGCACAGCAAGAAATAATTAATAGCATTGAAGAAGTGTATTTTTCCAGTGATTCATTTGATATTGTTAAGTATGAATTGGAGGTAAGAAGTCTTAAGGCAAAAGGCAGTACTGTAACTAAACTGAATATCCAAGATCAGTTTTTGTTAATGTTTACATTTCCATCTTGTCTTCTATATTCTGCTTAAATGTAGAATTAAGATTTTGCCCTTGCTGCCCGTGAAGGTGTGGTTGTATAGAGCCTGGCCTAAAATCTAATGAGATACTTTTATTTCAGTAGACTTAGTGTCAGACCCATTGTGCTAATAGAAAGTTCTGAGACCAAATTATTTATGAAAGTGTCAAAATAATTGGAAACAAGAACTATAATATTTTTGACAGATAATCTCTATTTTGGTTTTTAATTTGCTTACTTGGACTAGGAATTCGAAGAGGGATTTAAGCTTCTAAACTCCTGTTGATTGCTTTATGTAAGACATTACCATTATGGTTTACTTTACCATCATTACTTTTAAAATGCCGATTAAACTGTGAAAACAAATACTCTTTCTTGAATGTTAATGCAATCTATGGATTGAAATTGCATATTGCTTTATCTACATTTCCTGTCTTCCTTTATTTTTGGTTGATTCAATTTGTTCTACATATAGAAGCTTCCTCCTGTCCTTAGTCTTCAGGAATTGGAAGAATACAGAGATAAATTAAAGCAACAACAAGCTGCTGTAAGTAAAATTTGTTTCTTCTCTTGAGAGCCTGCAACTGAATGTGCATAATTCTTTGTATATATAATTATAAGAATATATAGAGCTGGGCTGAAAAGAGTCTTGCATATTTAAATAATCAGGATTTTAATAAAAACAAATCAAAATTAATAGATTACAGTGGCTGTTTTGGCCACAGTCTTATGATGATATCAGAGTCTGGACACATGTAACACTATATGCTGGGTTAAATGCAGTTTTAACCTGAAACAGAGATGTACACACCTATTAAACCTGTACAAATTGCCTGGAATGGTTCAAAAGTCTATGAGGAAAATGAGGTACTCTTTAGAATCGGTTGACAGTGCTCTGGTTTAACAGTATGTGTGGACTGAACCAAATGTTCCATGCTGTGGGTCTGGTCAGTCCTCCAGCTATCCTGTATTATGTTGTTCCTCATCTTCCCCCTGCACCTGGCCACTGTGGTACACAGTCAGAATGTTGTTGTCCCTTTCATTTTTTTTGTTGTTGGCACGACCAACGGTGTCCTTACTCACCTACTTGATTACACCTTCTCCTCATGTCCCCCAGTCCCTGGGAATGCAGAAGTGTGGGTTGAAGTACTTCCCCCGTAACATCCCCAAGTCAGGCAAACACTGCAGACTTCAGTCAGTTGCAGGTTATTGACATTTGTCATGTCATGTTTAGGAGAGAAGGAAAAGCATAAAAGTGAAAGTGCCCCAAAGTCACCCACCCCCTAAAATCCCCAAAGTATCTCTACCCCCTCTCTGCAAGGCCACAGCATTTGCAGCCACAGCACTCGGAACTACACTACTTCACACACAGTTGTGAACTGTTTTCCAATTAGTGACATTTTTGGAGTGGTTCAGTTGTTACATGTCTGCATCTTCAGCTTTTTCTTTAGGACGCTGGTTCTCAACCTTTTTAGACTGAAGGTACCCCTTGTTATACTTGAAGCACCCCTCCATAATTTTTGTTAATTGAACAGCATCCCATTTCAAAAACTGATTTATTTGTTATGGGGCTTACCTCTTTGGAGAGGGGCCAGGCAGTATGGGTGGGGGAGTGGCCAGGCAGGGAGAGCCTGGGCCTACCCTTATTTGCTTATCTCCTTATACCTGGGCCTGAGCCTGCCAGCATCTTCTCACACCTTGCTTTTCTCCTCACACTTCCTTTGACAACCTTCAAAAGATTCCCCTGACACCCAGTTTGAATCACTGCTTTAGGAATATAAACTTTTTTCATTAGCCATATTCAGATTTACGAGTGTGCACAAATGTAAGAAATGTAGGTTGAACTGACCAATGTAAACTGCTTTAATCTCTGTTCTTCTGAGGAATTGATGGTGATTATAAAAAAAAATGAAATATAAATGTACAGTGTGAGAACTTTCTACTTGTTTTATACTTGCAGTTGGCAGTTTGCTTGGTAAAATTTGATATTCTTCAGTATGTATTCTGCTTAATGCTGGGTCACTGTTAACACTGAATAAAATAAATACAATATAAAATTTAACAATAACATTAGTGATCATATTAACAGTAGTGTTCATGATCAGCGGGGTGGGGGGGAAAGCAGCAGCAGCACCTTTTCACAGTTTCATGTAAGTCAGCATCTCAGAATTCTACATATCTCTCTTCTTTGTGTCTAGTCTTAAAATAATGCCTGAACAGGCATATCTTCAAAGATCTAATAAAGGATTAGATAGGTTTGTTCTATTAATAATTGTACAGCACTTCTGAAATATGTATTTTAAAAAGATATAAAAAGATGTTACTATCTACCTATTTCAAATTGTTGCAGATCCATTTTGGCCTATAAGCCTGTACCCGATATATGTTTACAATTGTAGATTAAAGGTATGTTAATCATTTGTAGAGGTGATGCTACTTTTTAGGTCTTTGTTACACATTATATTTTGAGATTCTCAAATGTTGATTGATATTAGTGATAGCTAGAGTTTAGAGCGGTCACATGTTCAGACCAAAAACCTTCTAGCTAGGGACAGACATTACACACAAACTGGTTTAAGTCATCAGAAACTGGCTTAAACCTGTAACAGAACATAAGTTCAGTGCACTTAACCAGTTTCAAAATGGCTGAAACTGTTTTAAGATAAATCTGGTTGAATGTAGTATCAGACTTAACTTATTTGGGCCAAACCAGTTTATGCAGTGTCTGTCCCAGACCCCTTCCTGGTTGAAGTTTAAACCAGAGTCTCCCAGCATCTCAGATGATTTGCAGCCCTGGGCTGGGCTCTCTGCTCCAGAAAACAGGCTGGCCCCTCCCTTCTGTTCCCTTGCCAGAGCTCTGGGGAAGACTGCAGGCATAGCAGGGTCTGCCTGGCTTTCCTTGCTGCTTGCTGCTCAAGTAGGGATTCCCCCCTCCCTCCCATCTCCCACAGCACGGACCACAGCCCCACTGACCCTACGCATGTGGTATGCTAGGTAATGCTGAGAAGTGTCTGTGTCTCTGATTTCACTGGGACAGGCAGAAAGTGCTGTGTCCACTTAGGGCATTTTGGAGCTAATCAGCAGGTCATCTGGTAATGTCCCTCTGTTCCTTCCTTGGAAGAAGCTGTTTAAGGAGAGCTTGAACTAGTGAGAGGGCTTTTGTTTTGTTGAAGGGCTGATATACACTGTGTTATCAGCCCCATGCTGGTTTGCAGCCCTGTCAGGTTTGCAGACAGTATGAAGAAGCAGGGAGAGGGAGATTGAAAAGCTCAAGATGGGCAGTCCTTGACTTTACAGTGTTTGAGTTATGACGAATGGCACTTGCGACGTTTATAAATTGGCACCGTATTTCGACTTTCCAATGTCAGTTTTGACTTTACAATGCTGGATCTGATGCGATGCCCACGCCAGTGAACATCACTGCACCGCCAGTCCACTGTGCAAAAAGTCCTTCAAAAAGTCCAGCAAAGTCACCTCAGAGAAGTCCTTCCAAATCAATATAATTGCTATTTACAATATAAATACATTAACGTTAGCTATATTACTCATGTATAATTGATTGAGTACAAAATTCTGGGTTATTTTTTGGTGAAAATAGGGTATCGGGCCTTGGTTCAGGAACCAATCCCCCATTTATAATATTGTTCCTATGGGAAAATTGGTTCTGAGTTATGGTGCTTCGACTTACAATTGATTCCTGAAAACCAAGTCTTATCGTAAATCCAAGGACTGACTATCATCAACCGATGCATGCACTGCACCCTCCCTCCCCTTTGCCTCAGAGTGCTAGCCCGGGTGGAGTCTGGCAACACTCCTACAGTGAGTGGGGAGAAGCCTGGGAAGATGCAGGACAGGGTGGGGGGTTACACTTCTCCCTAATCAGAGCATCCTGCTGGGGCCTGGCCACACCCCACCCCCAGCTCAGCAATGTGGAGGGAAAGGAGGGCTGCTTTAGCATCCCTGGGTTCTAGCCTGAGTCACTGCAGGCATGTGCCTGCATATCCTCAGTTCAGTGGGGATGTCCGTGTGGTTGCAAACCGGTTTAATTTAGGCAGGTTAGGCTAACCTGCAAAGATTGAATAAATTCAAGCTCAGGGTTTTTCAGAGTCTGTCCCCTAGCCTCTCTGCTGTCTCTGACCTGCACATTGTGAGTTGTTGCTAGAGGGCTGGTGAGCCATGACAGGCTTCTATCCCTGCTCTTGGTGGTGGTGGGTTGGAGAGATGGATTGGTTGGGGTGGGAGCATGAGGCTGGAAAGGAAAGAGTCTTAATGATAGGGACTGGGTAATGAAATGCCAGGTATAGTAGGAAAGGCAGCTGAGGGGCGAGTGGTGAAATGATGGAAGTCAGCCACTGAAGCCACTAAAGGATAAAGTAAAAATTAAAAAAATAAAGCAGTAAATTAAAGAAAGGCTTGTGTTTTAATAAATTGGGATTGAGACTGGGTAGCCCTGGCTCACAGGGACACTGCCCCTGCCCTGGAAGAAAAAGCCCTAGCTTGTGGGGACCCTGATCTGGCCCCCTACCTTGCTCCCCCCCAGCCCTTCCTCCCAGACCGGTCTGTGTCCCTGTGAGCTGCCCAGCCAACTCACAACTCTGGGGGTAGGAGGGGATTTGGCTTGGTGCCAGTATGCCCCCTCCAAAGTAAAGTTCAGGGGGTAGAAGTTTCTCCATACAGAACAGAAGGGTGGGAGAGGGTACACTGCATCCTGGGATGCTGGAGGACTGAAGCTTGAGTAGCTTATCTCTGGGGAGTAGCCACACATTTGTGGAACAGGAGCTGGGTAATGCAGATCAGAGAGAAACTGCCCTGCAGTAGTGTTACTTTAACCTGCCTAAAGAGCACTTAAAACTAGCTTATGTGTGTGGGCAATCCATGGGTTAAGAGCTCCCTGAGCCACCTAAAATTAACAGGTAAAAAGGCCCTTCAGCCTGAATTTGTTCAACACACACTACTGAATTGACTTTTTGTGTGATTTACAAATGATATCTTGATTACTTTTGACCAAGCGTTTCTCAATATTCTGTTTTTTGGGGGTTTTGTCCCATGCTTTTACACAATCAATCTTGGGCAAATTCTGTGTTAGATTACATGATGTAGTGGTTCTGTCAGGAGCAAGACCAAGAGATTAGTCTCATATTTGCAGATTCAGCACTTGCTTGTAATTTGTTCTGTAATAAGAAATGCATTACAGCACCCTCAGAGTCTCTTTACTGTGTACCATCTCAGTAATTGTATTAGTAATTATATTGGTACATATCCTTTATATCTGTATATTGGAGCTGGATCTTATCTGCACATCTGTTTGCTTTTAATTTTAGCTAATGAAAGATCATCAATAGTTGTGGTCTCAGTTGACACTGGAAGTGCAGTTTCAGCACGGTGGCTTTTGTAGCCAACTTTTTCATTGCTAGGAATTGTATTTCTGACTTACAAAGCCAAAGGATTTAAAAATAAGAAGTCCCAGCCTAGTTGTATGTTAGCTGCTATGGAAGCTGGAGCAATTTGAAAGCTAAAGAAACAACTTGATTTTCAGAGAACAATGGAAGATCAAAATAGTGAAGCAGTAGTAAGGGGATGGAACCCATCAAAACATTTAAGAGTTAGGATTGAGCCTGGTACTGTCTAAGTGTCTATGAATGGTGCTTGACAGGGTTACTAGAGGAGAAACATGCTGCATCTAGGGAGAAAGAATCACCAACACACCTACAGACTGGGAGGTGACTTTCTAAGCAGCACAGCAGCAGAGAGGGATTTTTGAGTCATAGCTGACTCCAAAATGAATGTGCGTCGTCAATGTGACGAAGTGAAAAGTAAAACCAAGCACACCCTTTCATGCATTAGAAGGTGCATCATGAGCAGGTCTAAGGAGGTGATACTTCCCCTTTATGTGGCATTGCATCCAGTTCAGGGCACTGTACTTCAAGAGGCATGTGGATAATCCTGAGAGGGTCCAGAGGAGGGTTACTCATATGGTTAAGGGCTTGCAGGTCAAGCCCTACGGGAGAGACTAGGGTACCTGGACCTCTTCAGCCTCCGCAAGAGAAACACCCTGGGGTGGAGAGCATCTGGACCTGCTGATTTGAACACGCCCAGCCCCTCCAGAAGCTCTCTAACCTGGTCCTCCCCAACCTGAGGTCTGGAGGCGTTCCCCTCAAGTCCGTCTTGCATCATGGTGGGGAAGTCCCGGTCCCTGCCCAAGAAAAGAGGTGAAGAAAGAGGTCTGCTTTCTCCTCTGGCGCAACAGCCAGATTGCCCAGAGGATCTTGCAGGGGCCCCACATTTCCCGGTGCTTTCTTCATCCTCCCTATATATTTGAGAAAGAACTTTTTGTTATCTTTGATTTTGGACACAAGTCCTAGCTCTATGTCCGCCTTAGCTTTCCTGACAGCCCCCCTACAGGCCCGAGCAGAGGAGGTATACTCCTCTTTGGAGATAGCACCCCCCTTCCACCGGGTGTACGCCGCCTTTTTGGCGATCAGGCATTCCCGGACGCCCTTGGTGAGCCAGGGGGGCTTTCGGGCACTCCTGCCCTTCTTGCTTTTTGTTGGGATGGTCTCCCCTTGGGTCCTGAGTATCGTCTCCTTAAGGAACAACCACTCATCTTGGGCACTGAGTTCCCCTGCCCTTGAGAACCCCAGCCTCTCTCCCACTAATCTCAACTCATTGAAGTTGGCCCTCTTGAAGTCTAGGGCTACTGCCTTGCTGCCGGCCCTTGACACCCTGCACTGGATGATAAACTCCAGCAGCCGCTATCACCCAGGTGGTTAAGGACCTGGAGGCCCCTTACTAGGTTGTCGCCTGTGGCCAGGACCAGGTCCAAAAAGGCATTTCCTCTGGTGCGACTGTGCACCTCCTGAATTAAGTGGAGGTCCTGTATCTTGGCCAGGAACCTCCTGGAATGGTCTGACCTGGCTGACTGTTCCTCCCAGCAGATGTCCGGGTAATTGAAGTCACCCATGACAACCACATCCCTTGCCTTAAGTGCCTCTGCAAGCTGGCCCAAAAATTGCCGGTCCAGCTCTTCCCCTTGGTTGGGGGGTCTGTAGTAGACCCCCACCGTTAAATCCCTCTCCCCACGGCCCCCTTGTGTCTTGACCCAGAGCACTTCAGCTTGCCCCTCCTCTGACCCCATTTTGCTGGCAGAGGATACGTATTGCTCCTTGACAGAGCGCCACACCCCTGCCTTTCCTTCCTTCCTTCCTTCTGTTTTTACTCAGGTGTAGTATTTAACTTGTAGAAGGCAAAGAGGTTAATTTGAACATACCTACTTATTCCCAGATATAAACATTTTCCTTCTTGCTTCTGTACAACGTGTGATTGCTATCCTAGAATGTTTATGCCCTTTCGTGTGCTCTAGCATATGTGTTAATAAGTGAGGATTACTGAAATGAACATTAAAGAACATTAAGATTTACTGGAAATCTTCAGATCTTGGTGTAGATATTTAATAGAACGATTGTCTGCTTCCCATTTACATCATTGATTTTTTTTTTCTTCTTTCAAGGTATCTAAAAAGGTTGCAGACTTGATTCTTGAAAAGCAGCCTGCATACGCTAAGGTAGGACAGTGAGCAGATGTGTATATGTTTAACTGTAACTACGTATGAATTATTAAACCACACCGGTAACATTACTGTAATTCAGCTTAATGTCCCCCCCCGGAATGTTTATGTAATTGTTGTATATAAGACTAGTGTCCCTTGTTTTCAATGACAGTGATTCATAATGTTGCCTGTAACAAGTGCATTTATGTACCTCACATCAGTATGATCACTTTGTCAACCTCGTTCAAAAGAATTTCTGTAACAAACTGCTTAAAAGTTGTGCAAAAGCAGTGGTCTTGTATTTTTACTTTTAAGTTTGCCAGACTAGAGTTCTGATAGACCATCAGAGAGAACATGTTTTAAAGACCCCATTAGACTGGGTACAGTACAGATGCAGTGCTAGGCATTATTATTTTCTGATCCTCTCAAGAGTCGTTGTGTGCTTTTATAATATGACTAATGATTACCAGAGGAAAGAGAACAGAATGTGAAATGGAATTTCTTTGGCTCGCACAAGTTTCTGAAGATAAATCAAACCATACGAGAGTTTTTTTCAAAGACTTTTTAGCTCCAGGAAATCTAACAAGGGCTCTTCAGTTACTAATCTAGGTCTAGCTGTGTGATGTGTTCACCACTATTAGGAATTAAATCATTATGCTAAGTATGTATCTAAGTCCAGACCACTAAGAACTGAGGACACTGTGATGAAGATGTACTAGAAGCTACTTTGATCACTTCTTTAATGCCTTTTTGCAAAAAATAGGAGGCTGCAGTTTGGTGGTACTTGCAGAAGGCTTGGGCCAGAACCCAACTGCTGTCTTTGTTTAAAGGTGAAGAAAGCTTTAACAGTTCTTATCTCATTATCCTCAGTCATTAATGAGTAATAAGTACTTAATAGTACCCCGGCACTTTCAGGACTTGTGTGATCAAAACTATAGAATCTTATAAATAGAATTATTATTATTTACGTACTTCCTTTGCATCTCACCCCAGTAAAAATGCTTGAGGTGCTATGAATCATAAAAACAATTATCTAAAGAGAAAACCAGTGTTTTTAATACTGTCTTCTATTTTGACAGTTCCTCCATCAGTTGGATCAGGGCAGCTGAGTCTATCATGGTTTCGGTAAATAAAAGAATTACACAACAAATAGACATTTAGCAGGGAAACTGGCAAAACAGTGAATCCTAGCCTAATATGCAATATAATTAGAACCCAATCAAAGTATATTTAAAACACCCGTGATTCTGAACAGTCCAACTGGATGAGGTTTTGCTGAAGTAATCACAGAGAACAAGAAAACTTTTCCCCCCCACTCTGCCACAGCATATGGATAATCAGTGTGTGCTTACAGTCTTGTGTGTTTTGCTTTGTCACTGGCACTTCAGGTTTTTTTCTTCCCCTGTTATCACTTTGACTGTGGATAGGCATTAATTTCTGCTGGTAAGAATTTAAGAAACATTCTCACAATTACAAAAATAGCCTGGGAGCAGGAGAGTACATGCATTTCAGCCTCCTGGCTGGCGAGCTACACAGGTGACCTGTCCAGCCTGGGGACACTACAAGGCTGCTCCCTGGGCCACCCATCTATCCTCTCGCTTCCTGGGAAGGGGCAGGCTGTCAATAAGTAGCCTCTTCTGGCTTTTAAATCACAGTGTTTCTGTCTAGACATGCTGCACGTGTTGATTTAAAGTGAAGGTGCAAAGAAACGGAGCCAGGAAACTCTAGGAAGAGCTTCCCCAGATCTGGTTCTCAGCCCCATGGGGGCAGAAAGCGCTGCCTGTTCTGCCCAGTGGGGAGGGCTTTCCTGGGGTTGGGAACTGGCCCTGTAGTCTTTGAAACTTGCACCAAACAGGGAGGGGAGTATGTAAGTTTTCATTCCTTCAAGAGAGCTGCTTTCTGTCAGTGGGAGAACATGTTTTTCCTAGCAGAAGTTGAATGAATGCGTATATACTAGTAGTTTCTAGCAGGCGAGTGGTAATTCTCCTCTAGATGTTTGAATGTGGCCGTTGCTAGTTGTAGGGTTACTGTGACTCTTTACCTGGCCTGAAAGGAGTGAGGTTCTGGAATGTAACCTGGTACTTTTCAGATAACACTCTGTCTTAGGATTCCCGGGAAGCATTGGTAGAATGGTTCAACGATTGAGTGGTATAATCCCTTGGAAGATATTAGGAGATGAAGTAGGTTCATTGGCCTCCTGGAATGAAAGATTTAAAATGGTTTCTTCATCTTCACAGGTGTTAAGATCTTTATCTGGAGGAGGAGGAAGGGTTCTGTCAGTAACAGATGTTAACTTTAAGATCTCGAGAGTGAAACATCTCCTCCTTCCCCGTAATTCTAACTGATACTAATTTATGTTCCTCTAATGCTTTATAGCAGTTGTACTCAATCTTTTGGCCCTATAGGCCAGATAAGTGGTGTGGGGTTGGGGACCAGCACCACCCTGCATGTTGGGATTGGCCCCTCCGCTGTGCCTTCCTGGCCTCCTACATTGGGGTTGGGCCCTGGTGCTTGGTGCTGTCCCCGCCCGACCCTGCATGCTGGGATTGGTGCCTAATCCAGCAGGCAAGGTCTGGAAGGTTGCTGTGGACCAGAAACTTGTTGGCACAGAAGTGGTGCCACTGACATGGTACTGCAGGCCAGATCTAGTCTGCTGGCCAGAGGTTAAACAAGGCACTGATTAAAATCAGGTTTATAGGGTGTGATTAAAACCCAGAGCATTCATTTTGACCATAAATAGAATGTTTGCCCATAAACACTTCACCTGTCCCTTTTGAATCAATGCAGACTTCGGTAGAATGTTTGTTTGCATCATATGTGTGGTTTTTTTTCCCCTGTGCGCAACACCAAATGTCTCCCCACCAAAATTTCCATCATGGGGAAAGTACTTTGTGGATTTTATCTGTTAATTTTTGTGTGTCTGTATTATGGAATGAACTATTGTACATGTATATAATATTAAATGTAGACATTAATTTTGTATTACTGCAGACTTTTACTGAGGCATAGTACTATTTATTGAGTTGTACCACAGTGCTTTATAATGGTTCCAAGGGGACCATTAAAAGTCTATCGTGCCACTCAGAATCTCTTTTAAAAACTCTCAGATATGTGCTTACCTGATCTGAGTCGATAATCCTTCTGTTTAAAATGTCAAAGATGTTAACTGCACGGGCTGTTTACTCTGGTTGGTCTCCATGGACTTTAAAATTGAGGGCTCTATTGTACAAACATCTCTGAGACTTGTGTGAGAGGCTGAGGACTTGCATTCCCACCGGTGCACTGAAACATATTTAACAATGTACTACATGCTCTTTTTTATAGCATATGTTTATGGGCAAATCCTATGTCTACTTACCTCAGTTTCCACAGAGTACCCTGGAAATGTGTTTTCACTATATAATTGGGGAGAAGTCATTAAGGAGAAGCTTTGGACTGTGGAGCCCTGTTCCACAGGGAGTTCACATATAGTGGGGCAATAAATTTACCCCTGTGCAGATTCTCCACTTTTTTTTTCTCTTTCTTTTGGAAGGAGAAGCACTGATGCTTTAAGATGACTAGTGTGTCCAGTAGGTTGACATAGTTCCACAGCAACACTTCGTTTCTGGTTGGGAGAAGAGAGGAATTTGTCCCTTATGAATGTCCCCATCCATTTAGCCTGCATCATGGACTTCAGATTTTGCTGTTGTGGACTCTTGGACTACCCTCTATCAAAATACCTAGTCTAGACATTCTGGCTATGTCTAAAGAAGTCTCTCAGAATTCATAGAGCCAGCAAGATTACAGCTGAGTGCTGCCTGCTCTTAGATATATTATTGGATGCATTTCCTCATGAAAAAGGAAGGTACTGGTCCCTTGAAAATGGCTCAGCTATTCAGAGTATTATATAAAGAGAAGATTTGTAGGTGCTGTATGGTACAAATCCACCTTTCTGTTCAGTTTCTTAAGGCATTGCTCAACCAGTCTTTCTGAGTTTTTTCTAAATGAAAAATCTTGGTAAGATGAAGGGAAAGATTTCCTGTCAATGTAATAAGGCAGTTCCATTGGACTGATAAAGACCTTTGGGATACTTTTGATCAAAGGATGGTTTTAAAATGACTTAAAATTTTAACTAAATTAACTAGTTAGGTAAGAGTAGGTTTTCAGATTGCATCACATTTTTTATGTTGCGTGTTTTCTGAAGCAAAGGATGTGTTCCTGTTTGAAAGGTGCCTAGTACATTCTTGAAATGCAATTCAGTAGAAATAACAATAATATTATACCCATTTTATATCTTTTTATATGCAGAATGTATAAACCTTTTAACTTAGCCTTTGTTGCTAAAAAAAGAGAAACTAACAACGTATTAAAAAATCTCATTATTTTAAGAGAATATGCTAAGAATTTCATAAAAACAAGGTAAAGCTGTAGTTTCTGCCCTGAAGACTTACAGACTAAGTTCAACAAGACACCTTTAAAGGTCATTACAAAGTGAGATTTATTGAGTTCTTAGTGTGTACATGAACGCTTTAAAACAAGGAAAAAAACCCTGTTTTTTCTGCTTTGCTGTTCTCTGGCAATGTAATACAAATTTAAATTTATGCTAATGTGCCTGAAATTTTGGTCATAGTGTTGATGTGAATTTCATTAATGTTGATACATCCATGAAATAAGTAGCACAAGAATATGTACACACATCCATGTTTATTTTTGTTGAGTTTCTCCTTTTGATAAAAATGCGTTCCAAGCACTTCTCTTTAGGATATGTTAATTTGTTTTAATTTCACAGGCAACTCTAAAGGTTTCTTATTTCCCTTTGAAGAAACTGACATCCTGTTATATATGAATTATTCATGTTTATTAGTGTCTTTAAATAAAGTTTAAACTTGTTTCAGAAATGAAGTGATAGATACTAGTTTCATGGAAGTTAATTGAAGGATTGTAAGAGAGGATCTGCTTTGTTTTGTAACTGCTTGATTCCTGAATGACTATATGAATATATTCCTTCTCTGTAGGAACTTGAACGTGTTACATCTTTACAGACTGGCCTTCAGTTAGCTGCTGTCATTTGCACAAATGGAAGAAGGTATGCTGCGAATTTGGTGGGATACTTATCTTTTGTTCTCACAAAAAATGAAAAGCTTCATGTGTCCTAACATGAACCAATGGTTACTCTCCGATACAATTGATACTATTTTCTATTAATGTGCTGTAGATATTAACAGTTATCACTTTCTGTATTTTAATGCATGATGAGAATTGACAGTTTTTGTGTTCTAGTGCATTCTTTTTGTTCCTAGATCAGTGAGTTATTCCAAGATCTAGAAAAAAGGATGAGAGCAATTGTTGGATTTCAGTAGTGGCGCACCACTATATTTTGGTCTCACATGCATGGAGACCTCCCAGTTTGAATTTTCTATAAGGTAATGGTTATGTGGCATGTTATCCAAGACCTGTTTTCTCTTTTAACTTATCCAGGCACCTGAACACTGCAAAGGAAGGCTTTACACAAGCTAGCTTGGGGCTTCTTGCAAATCAAAGAAAACGGCAATTGCTTATTGGACTACTAAAATCTCTGAGAACAATAAAAACACTGGTATGAATGATACTTTTTTGTTTGTTTTTTAATGATAGCACATTTCCTTTTTTAATATAGCTTTCTTATGGCTGTCTTTTCTGTTAATTTTTAGCAAAGAACTGATGTACGTTTAAGTGAAATGTTGGAGGTAAGTTTACTTCAAACTATTAAATTTCATAATAATGGTAGCTGGGGGCCAGTTTTGTCAGCCCTCATGTTTCTTCAAATTGTGTCTCTTTCTTGTAAATGTGTGAGCTCTAGGAAAAAAAGATTTCCCAGACTCTCTCTCTATAGAAGTGTTTGATGCATTAACCTAAAGACTACTTAGGGTCTGATTCTCCATTCAGTCAGAACTACATATGTTTGAGGCTGTACTTAAGGTGTGGACAGATGTACATTTTAGCTGTTTTTAAAGGGGAGGGAGAACTGATGCCTGTGAGCATGCAGTGGATGTTATAATCTAGATCAGGGCGTCAACTCATCTCGTCCTGTAGGCTGGATAGTTTGGGGGATGAGGGAGGGTGCTCAGGTCCATGGATGGCTCTTTTCCCTCCCCTCTCCTCCCCTCCCCTTCCCATCCTCTGTATCTGAATCCAGCTGCTGTGGCACCCACTCTGGCTGGACTGAGAGACTAGCTGCATGTGGCATTTGCTCCAGCTGGTCTGGGGTGGAGAATTCTGTCCCCCAACCCACTTCCCAGATCCAGGGCTGATGGTGCCTGGTTTGGCTAGTCTGGGACTGCTTTGCGTATGGTGCCTGCTCCAGGTTGCATGCTGCATGTGGCACCCACTCCAGATTGGTTGATGAGAGCTAGGTAGCTGGACAGTTTTTATGAAGACCCTTCTACATGTGTGAGTAAAGGCACAATGGGATCTAATGCATGAACCATACAATCTCACCTCCTGCCATGCCACACATGCATTAATTAATGGTGTGATAGGAAGCAATTACAAAGTTTATTACATATTTTGTGGAGTAACTTTCTGGCTTCCTCTTTTTATCACACCATTCATTTGATGGAATGTGTGGCTGGGTGACCACATATGGAGTGATTAACTGATTAATCATGCCTTAAGTGTAACATGTAGATGGGGCTTATTGGTAAAGGAAGATATTCCCATTAGTACTGTATTTTCTTGCATGCAACAGACCCTGAAATAAGATGCACATCTTGTTTTTGAAAGGCAGAATGAATTAAGAAAGATTTTTCCTTGTTATATGTAACTGAATAGCAGCAGCTAGGGAGCTCCAGATTAGTCCATACTGGACTCCACTCCTCCCTCTATGCCACTGCTGGAGGGAAGAGAAGGAAAGGAAGCAGCAGCATGTCCCTGCTTCTATTCTGGGTGGAAGACATGCACCACAATTTTAAAAAGCTAATTTTTGGGGGAAAGGTATGTGTGGTATGCAGATAAATATGGCAATAGTATTAATCACATCATTTTATAGTCCATTACACTTAGTGTTCCAAATGCAGAGGAGGGGACATTTAACAGGTTCTAAAATTTATAAGTCAATCTACTTTATTTGTTCAAAGGCCGGAAGGAAGGAGTAGATTGTATGACCTTCCTCCAGACTGAGGTCTAAAGTTCATCTATTGTGTGATATAGGCTCCTTCTAAGAATGTGTAGAGGGTATTTCTAAATGGGTAATAAAATAGTTTTATTAAGCTGTTTATCATAACTTTTTAAAGAAGATTATAATGTTGAGACTGAAGTATTCTTGTTTCATTTTATGGCTTGCTTGAGTATACCTAAGAATGTAGTTTCTAAAAGAGTTTACAAAAATAAATTGTTTTTATCTTGATCGTGAATATTAATACTTGAAATAAGCTATACTTTGTCGTCTTGCATTTTCCAGTTTCATATGGTGCCTTTTGAATTTCAAAGAACGATGTTGTTGAAGTTCCCTGAAGTTCTCTTGTGATAAATTAAGCATTCTTGTATGTAATGTACTTACCAGAAATATCTTTAGCATTTTTTCCCAGTACAATTCCATTTAGTTAGTGTAAAAAAATTGTTAATACATGCTTCAAAATGTACATTAACCATTTGTTGTATTATTTCCCTTTTAGGAGGAGGATTATCCAGGAGCTATCCAACTATGCTTGGAATGTCAGAAAGCAGCCAGCACTTTCAAACACTACAGTTGTATAAGGTCAGGGGGCATTGTCTTTTAGAAGAAGGTTCCAAATTTAGGTCTTATGTAATATCTTGAGGAAATATATGTTGGGAAACGTTCTAGAGATAGATATCTATCTATATCACTGATACCAGCAGGATATGTTAATTGAAGTGCTGCTTGTAGTAACTGTGGTATAACTCTTCCAACTGCACTAAATCTTACTGCATTTATATTTAAATGGCAAAACTTGGGATAAGATTTACTACTGTATGCTAGTATGATATTACACAAGCCAACACTTATTAAAGCAGGAGTTTTGGTGTGAAGGAGGCTTTAATATCGGGATTTTTTCTTAATAGTGAATTGAATTCTAAACTGCAAGACACTTTGGAGCAAATAGAGGTAAGCCATTTGATATTTAATTTTTTTTATAGTAAGTCAGTTTTCTTCACATTTTTACTTGACTTTCTCATTCACTACTTTAATGTTAGCAATTCTTGCATCTAAGAGTAATGGATTTAAACTGCTGTATTAAATGGTTTTCAGTGCAAGAGAGAAGTAGCTAGCTGTGTTAGCCTAAAGTCAGCAGAAAGCAGAGTAGATTTTCAGCTTATAAACTGAATCAGGGACTGGGCCTTTTAATGGACCCAGATGCCAGTTGTTCCCGTTCATTTATGCAGACTATATCATCACTCCGCTGAGTAACATAGATGTAAATTTCAGTCTCCTGCAACGACTCTACCAATGTCACGTATACCATCACCTGTTTACAGTGACCCTTGTGTGTAAGAATGAATGACATACTCAGCTCCAGAAAGACATTAAGGCCTCTGGCAGAACACTTTTAACCTCCATGGGATACCATTGCTGACCTCAGGGTTACTGTTCTAAGGCATCAAAAATTAAAAAACCAACTTGAATGGGAAATTGGAGCAAGAACTCATTTACAGACTGGACTGTGTTCAGCATGGGCTTAACAGGGACATGCATTCTTATCCCATTTACAGGATTAACGTTTGTTCCTATGGGTTTATTGCTTGCTTGTTTGCCTTTCCCAGCACTGCTTCCTTTCTCCCTTCTTGCTTTTTGTATTCAAATCACTTTCTACTTATATAGTGCTGTACACATGTCTTATCACAACATCTAATGAAGTAAGCTTGATCTCATGGAAGCTTATTCTTATTCAGTCCTAGTCTTATGGAATTATGTGAACAGAATGCAAAAGCAGTAACATATAGGCAGTGTGCTTGTGTATGTGGGCCTATATCTAATAAAATACCATTAAAATAATGGAAATATATTCAGATGCAGAGACAGCCTTCTAAGATGATTAGGGTAATGTAGAGCCTATTTTATGAGGGGAGACTAGTAGCTGCTTTGAGTCTTTTGGATAGGGTGGGATATAAATCAAATGCATACATATAGTAAATAAATAAATAGCGTGTTGGCTTAGTTAACTTGGCAAACAAAGGTGAGAGCATAAATGGTTGCTTTCCATAAATAAATAATGGAGTTAAACACCAGGGAAAGAAAACATGAGTCAAGCTAAAGAAAAATATTGCCCCAGAGTAAATGAGTATAGTACTGACCATGAACAAATGTAGGCTGAAATTAATAAAAGGTGCCTAAGCAGTAGAGCAGTGAGTTTCTGGAACAGCCTTGAGCAAGAGTAATGGAGCAAAAGTCTTATTTTTAGAATGAAGCTGTGCATCATTATGAAGGAGATTATAAGATGTAGTATTATCTGTGATACTAGGGGCTGGACTTTGTAACCTGCTATATTTCTGTGCTTTTCAGAAAGTCAGACTTGTGTGCACGTTGCAAAGTTGTATAAATTAACTACTTATACAATCAGTATTTTTTTTTTTTTTAAAGATTCCCTTGTGGTTCCTTTATTTTTTAATACAATCTCTACAAACCTTTCTTTTCTTTCTCTACTGATTGTATTTCCCTCCTGGCCCCATGATCTCACTCAGTATTTAAGTGATTCAAAAGAATATAATGGATTAGTATTGCATTTATTTTTTTCTCATTTTTTTTTTTACATGACTTAGGCATTAAACATCCTTTTGTGGTATTGATTTTTATTTATTTTCTTTTTTATTCAAACTACTTTCTTTGACTAGCTGTTTTGTTCTTATGCCTGCTTCAACAAGATTCTTAGGAGCAAATTGATTTCCATCATATCTTGTAACAACATTTGAGTTCATTTCTTCAAAGGTGGACATGTAATTCTAAAATAAATCCTGCTTTGTACCAAATTCTGCTAAAACATGGTGTGTGTAAACACTGACCATTTGCATTTAGCTCAAAAGTAATATTGAATGTATTGATTTCCACTTCCTTTCTTGGGACATATTTATGTAAAACCTGTACTACTTTTCATATAGTAGGTAATCTTCCACATGTTGGAATTGGCTTAAGTCTTGCACATTGCAGAAGTTCATAGGAACATCCTGGGCTTTGTGGAGTGTACATATATTTACATTTTTATAATATAAACTCTCTTGTTCATCTGCTTAATGTTTTAGAAGTGGCTTTGAGTACATCTTCTTCCCCCCCAATACATTTGTTTGCCTTCTACTCCAAAACAAATACCAAAATGCCTTTGTCTGAATGTATCCATTGTTACAAGTCATATCTGATATTTTTCTGTAATCTTTCCTTATAGTAATCTTAATTTTCTTCAGTTAATTTAATGTGTGTATGGGATAGAAAGAAAGACTGGCTATGCATGGCAAACTTACGTTTATTGCCTATTTTTTCATACTCTTTAAATCTATACAGATTAGCTGGGAGATGCAGAATCAATTGCAACTGAAAATTACTTTTTATTTTTTTTTAAATTATTGATAGTTTAATTTAACATCTTTTACCATGCTTCCTAGCAAAAACATTCTTAGGTAACATATTCTCTTTCTTCAGCTAAAGAAAATATTTAAGCTTTTAGAATGAGTATCCAGGCTTGCATGAATAAAATCTATTGATATTTTGGATATAATTAAATACATGTTGGTTTACTCCATTAAATTAAACTGTCTGAATAAGTCAAATTTAATTTTGTGATGTTTCCAGATATAGTAGAGCAAGAACCTCAGGTAGTGTCAGTTGGTATGGGATCAGTCGCTAGTGAGGGCAGGGAGACAGCGATTTTAAATCCTGCTTGCTCTCTATATTATTGGCTAATATTTTTCTTGCATTGACTTTATATGGACACTGGAAAATTATGTAATTTAAAATATGGTGTGCCTGACTCTGTCACAAAACTGGGTGTAAAGAATATTACTAAAGTTTTATAACCAAGTGCTCTAAATTGGGAAATTCTTTGCAAACTTCAATTTGGCCCTATTGTGCATATACACAACGGAACAGTCTTTTCTTATTTGATCCCATACTGTCTGTTCCACAGGACACCAAACTTATTTATTGCACAGGATGAAGGGTGATTGCTAATGAGCACCTATTCAGTACTTTGTCCGAACTTTGCCTTGAAGAGAGGAATTAATGATTTTCTGGGGGGCTTTTCTGTGATACTGATTACTGTAGCGTCAAAAACTTTCACAGACAATGAATATGTTTTTATACAACAACCTTAATGTCATGGGGTACTAATTTACAAATGAGGAATGGAGTTTTAGAGATTAAGATAAAAAGTATCTAGTTTTAGTCCCAAATCTGAGAACCAGATTATGAGTTTGGAACGATCTGGGCAGAGTAAGGTTTTTTCCCCCTCTATAGGAGCCTGGGGATGGGTAATCTCCTCTTTATACATATGGGCCAGGTACAGACATTATGCTTTTTCCTGTATAAGTGATTGGAAACTAGTCTATACCCATAATAGACTAGAAGTTCAGCACACACGGATGGGATTCTGCCATCTAAGAAGCAGTCTAAAATTTTAAACCAGTCTAAGATTTGCCTCCCTCTACCAAAGGGTGAATGTGTTTCCTGTTCATTACCAGTCTAAATGATGCCACTTATAGAAAACTGCATACCTGAAACTGATTCTTCCTCAGGCGTTTTGAATATCTCCTGCCCACCCTGAACACAGTCCTGGCCCAGCCTCCCCACCGGGAAGAGGCTGGTGCAGCTCTTGGACCCAAGCCAGCAGCAGGCAGCCTGTCTTTGCCTCATGCACAAATCTGGCAGGGCATATACCCCCATGTCTACCCTGGGGGTGGGCACAGTGGCAGGGAGCCATTCTTCCTCCCTGTGCTCCCTGGACGAGCTGCCTGTGGTCGTGGTCGCATTTACTGCCATGGCTGGGCAGTGCCTGCCCCTTCCCCTCTACCTCTGTCGCTGTGGATGCCTTGATCTGCCCCCAACATCCCTTCTCTCCCCCACATCCCCTCTCCTCCACAGACTTACCAGCTGGACAGTGCTCCCCAACCTGCCGGGCATCTGTGCGCATGCATGCGACATTTATCGGTGACATTATTGGCTATACTGGCCGAAAAAAGCTGCTTGCTGATAATGCTTTTGTTTTATTGGTACCAATCTGATATGGACCAATATATCCGTGTACCTCTAAGTCTTTATATTGAATGTTTAACTGTATTGCTTTATTCTTGTAGGAACAATTAGATGTGGCTCTGTCCAAAATATGCAAGAACTTTGATATCAGTCATTATACCAAGGTGCAGCAAGCTTATAGATTACTTGGAAAGACGCAGGTTAGTATTTACATTCTTTATTAGTAGTGCAGAATGTGGCTGCCACAATGTGAATCTTTGAGGACTAAGATGGAAACATATTTTTTCTGACAGCAGTGTATTTTGCTGAATGATAGGTTTTTACACGTATTTTATGTTACTCGTGTATTAATTTTATTTTGGTCATTTAATATTGCAAAACTTCATTTTTTGGTCAATATCTCCATACTCAAGGGTATGCCTACTGTCCAAGGGTGTGTCTACGGTACAGTGGCTTGCATGGATATGAGTGTATATTGGCTGGCTCAGAGGTGTACTGAGTTACTCATACCCTAAATCTGTTACAGGGAAATAATATTTAGGGAACATCTGTGTTCATGTTCAAATTGTGCGTGTTTGTTGCTATTAATTCTGGTATGATCCTAGAATATGTTTACTCCTTGTGATTTGGAACTTCTCTATAGATTCATTTGTAGTGTAATGTGGTGCTAATATGACCTGTGAGAGCGGTCATATGCAGAATTGATTTCAGCTTGCTATTGCATTTTGCTGAGGTATTTATGGCTGCATATATTTCTCAATTCTGTCTGCCCAATGAGGGGAGCAAGGCATGTGTCCATCAAACAAATAATTTCTGCTTGACGGGGGAATGTTTTGCAGCAGGGCAGGTACTGGACTCTGGATGACATTGAGAGATGTTTATGAAGTGCATTACATATCAGGATCCAGAATGTGTTTTGTTCATGGCATGCTAGGTATTGCAGCCGCAACTGAGGCAGATTCAGTATGACTGATGTATCTGATACAGATTGGTTGTAAAGTGTGATGGGACCACACTGTAATGCAGACTTAAAAATAAAGAGCAGCAGCTTCATAAATTCCATAAGAGGAATAGATTGTTCCTGAACTTTGTGAAGAGCTTGTCCTGAGCCTCTTGCACCAGACCATGTAATTGAGAGGGGGACCATATCTTACTGGTCTATTGCCACCTGGAAGCCCCATGATAACATAGGTCTGTAACAAATTAACTTATTTTGGCAAGTCAGCTATTGGTGCTATGGTGATGAAGCTTTGTGAGGCAGCCAACACAGTGGCTTATCCACAAGTGGTGAATGTTAATAAATATGACGTAGCGTCTGGCTTTTAGAGAATGGGATTCTAAAACTGTACGGGGCAGCTTGTGGCACACCTGTGCCCATAGGTCGTCTACTGGGTGGACCAAGTGAATGTCATCCTCCTAAAGTAACAGATAGATAGAAACTTGGTTTTGTATTTAGATGGCTTACAATATGCTTAATTTTCAACCGATTAAGCATTTGCTCATGAATGGGTAACTGCAGGCACATAAATAGCATATTTACTCAAATGGAAGATGATCCTGACTTTATAAGACAGCTCCCCAATACTTAAATTTTATATGTGGAAAATTTACAAACTTGTTATAATTTTCCAGGGATAGACTCTAATTATTGGAGGTTTTCCTTGAATTTGTCCCCTTCCCACTTCTACAGCAGCGAATTTAAATCTGGGGGCAGGTGGTCAGACAGCTGTTCGTTCTCTGCTTCCCCCCAGCTTTTTCCCCTGGCAGTCCCTTCCCCCCTCTCTACTGTTCTGGCTTCACTTTGTGGAGGACAGAGCCATACTAATCATATGTACCAGGCTGAGCAAAGGCAACAGTGTGTGCAATGTTGCGTCTCACCATGACTTGAAAAAGAGTCAGTGGTGAGGGGATTGCACTTCGTGGGCACTGTCATATGTCTTATTCAGAAAGGGTGAATTAATCCTATCAGCATGTTTGACCAATGTGGGCCATGTGTTTTATAGTCATACTCAGTGTTGGCTGGATTTAATCAGCTTCATAGTTGGTTTCCACTCTGGGCACATGCTACTTTTGGCATCGGTTTAATGACAGGCAGAGTATTTCATGAGATTTCCTTGTATGTGATAAGACAAGGGGTGTTTTTCCCCATGCCAATTGTGGGGCGGGGAACCTCATCTTGTACTTGAGTAAATTTGGTAGTTATTATGCATCACTTATTCTGCTGTAAATTCATTGTTAATCCCTTCCTTAAATTGAAACAGTAAGAAATTAATCTAGTTAATTCCAAAGGGCTAGACTCTTTAGATCCAGAGGAAATGTGATGGGCTAGTTGAGAAGAATTTTAGGAGGGAGTACTTAGGTTAGGTTGAGCTTTATGACGTCTGGGGAGTGGTGGATTTCTGGGCTGTCATTATACCAGACCAGGTAAAAGGTTAATTTGGGTTCTTAAGCAAAATCCCTGTGGTCTAATGAGGATGGGGAGGTGATGACTTGGCTAGTACATTTCTGCTCATGTATTTGTCTTGTTTTGCTATTTTCAGAGGCATGGTTAATCTAGTATATGTACTGTGGTGGCAGCAAGCTCTGGCGGCAGGTTCTGGAGCATAACCTGCCTCTCCGCACCAATTTCCATACTGCAGGCTTGAACTGGCTGATGAAGATACTCCAGGGCATCCTTCTGTCCCTGGTCTCAGAACATTAATCTCTGGCATGCTGTGTTTGGCCCCAGACCTGCCTCATTAATGTATTCTTGGGTTCAGAGTGAGCGAGCAAGATCCTATTACAAGTGCATAGAATTTGTTTTGTGGTTTTGTTTTTCCTTGTTCTCTTTATTCGGTATAAGGAAAAAAACCCCCAAAGCATTAAACATCAACGGTATATTGTAAATTTTAGATGTCCTGGAGTTTCTTTTGGGGCTTTGTTCAATTATCAAAGTCGCTTCAGTGATTTTAATTGCTCTTTAGTCCTGAACGTTCTTTACCATCTTCCTTTTTTACTCCATTCATATTAGCTATCTAATTCGAGGTAGGGTTATTAGGAAAGTCAGACTGGTTTATTTTCATTTCCATTTGGCATGTGAAAAGAAGTAGAATGAGTCCTTACTCATCACCAAGATATGAACTGCTGTTTTCCATTAGTAACTGGGAACAAAGTTAAATAGCAGCTATTAAACATTTTTAAGGCTGCAGAACCAGATAATCTGCACTCAGCCCTATTAAAAGAATTGGTCAGAGAGCTCTCTGAACGTTAATAGTGATTTTTTAACAAATCTTGGAACAGAGGGGAAGTTCTGCAGGGCTGGGGGGGAAAAAAATGCTGGTGTTACATGACTTCTGAAAAGGTAAATGAAATGATTCGGAAAACTATAGGCCCCTTAGCTTGATTTTCATGCCAGGCAGAATAACAAAGGCTGATATGGGACACAGTGGATGAAGCATGAAGGTCATTAGCACCTTTTTAATTCCAATTGATAGGTTTTGCCAAAGAAGTTTGATACGTTTTTGATGGAATTACGGGTTTGGTAAAGGTAATCATTAATGTTACATAGTTAGCCTGGTCAGGCATTTGATTTAGTCCCACATGACATTCTATTAAAAAAACACAGCATTATACAAAATCAGTGCAGCTCATGTTAAATGAATAGCAAAGCTGAAAAAAAATGAAATGAGAAATAGCCATCCAATTATGGAGACAGAAATTATGGTGTAAAGGAAGCTACCAATTGATGTAGAGTCAGAAAACTGGCTAGGGTGTGCTACCCTGCAATCTCTTGCAACTCTCAAGTAGGAATGATTCTCCCTCCTATTGGTGTCTAATCCAGTTTTAGAAGAACATCATGTTATAAACTCGGTTCAGGTACTCTCAGTGCAAGTACTTGAAAGTACTTCTACTGTAATTCAGAAAGAATTCAGAGACTGCCTTCAATACTGTTACAAAATAACACGGTTTGCAGGATTCCTGTAGTATACATCAAAGGGACACCTATGTTCGCAGGTATAGTGTCTTGGGGTGGAAATAGATGTCACCTTTGTGTTGCCGTAAAAATGTTTATGGTGGTACAAAGTGAAAGCAAACAGACATCCCTATCTTTTTTTGTACTAAAAATGTCCCAAGTTGTGGTTGCAGCAACAGGTAATAATAATTTGTGCCACTTTATTGCAGTTGGTGTCTGTTTGCTTATGGTGGGAATATGTAGGCATCCTGGGGCTGTCCGTCCTCTTCAGTGACTTGCTCTGGGGGCTTCAGGGGCCCCATCCTGCCCACCCAGGAATACTCAGGCAGAATTGGCCCTTTCAAGCAAGTCCTTGGTGTGTCTGTCCAGCTGTCCCCACTTACTGAGACACTTGCCTGAGATTTTTCTAAGGTGAATGGCAAAAATTGAGGTTTCCCTACTTAATCAAATGCAACAAAAACATGTCCAAATAGAAAAGGTATTAAAACTGGTAAGCCTGTCGTGATGGAAGAAGCTATGTAATGTGAAATCTCATCCCTGATGCAGTTATTTAGGGCTTTAATAGTTGTCCAAGTAATACTAATAACGCCAAGTTGTCTGATCAGTACTTTTGACTGTGTTCTTGTTAAGATGTAAATGTTTTTTTAACTGGTAATTGCTTAGTAAAAGCATGTTTGAAATAACTGTGTAAACTGTAATTGGCATTTAAGTTTTGAATAAGATTTTTTTAGCTACCTTACTGACAGCGTACTGAATTTCCAGCATCACAGGGGGCAGTATTTCTAATGAGATCCTAAAGGAGGGTTTTTTCCAAGCATAGCCTGTTTAATATCTTTGTTAGTGATATGATGGAAGTCATGAAATTATTGATAGCAAAAATTGCATGTGATCCAAAAATAGTGGAGTGGTAAATAATGGTGGGTACACATGAGTTATTCACTAAACTGGGAATGTGTGGGCTCACTTGAACAACATATTTTTAATACTGCCAAATGCTAGATCAGATGCTTTAGAATGAAGAAAATATCTTGTGCTTATAGGATGCAGGCAGTGGCGGATTTACTGTGAAACAAACTGTGGTGGCATGGGGCCCCCAACAACAGAGGGCCCTACTGCCGACACTGCTGCCAGAGAGCCTCCCACGTTTTGTTTGTGGCCTTCCCTCCCCCACACTGGGTTGTGGGCTTCTTTAGCTATTCTGGCCCAAAATTCCAGCCACCGCCCCTCTCCCATGGCCGGTGTGCTGCGCTAATTCCCCCTGGACGTGCCATGGCGCGGGAGATGGGGGCCCTGCACTCTGCTTGGATCACAGGGCCCCACTAACTGTAAATCCACCACTGGATGTAGGACTGCAAAATACGAACTAGTGACTCAAAAAATGGTTGGAATGAGTAGGGATTCAGTAGGTAATCAGTTGAGCATAATGTTTTTTTGCTTTTTCTTTTTTTAGACAGCAATGGACCAACTACATATGCACTTCACTCAAGCCATTCACAACACTGTTTTTCAAGTAGTTCTTGGGTATGTAGAACTGTGTGCAGGAAACACAGACACCAAATTTCAGAAGCTACAGTACAAGGACCTCTGCACCGTACGTGGTAACAGTTATTTTAAGTAGTATTTGCAATTAAAAAAAAAAAAATCTGTCACTTTGGGATGCATTGCTTATATGTTTCTTTATAGACACATTCCATATTATTAAAATAAGATGCAGTTGTTATTACCATTTCTTAATAAAATGTCATGGAGTAAATGACTGAGTCATAACATAGTATTAGCTTGGATAAAGTTAATATTTGGTGCTTTTATGTTTAAAAGTGTCATTATGTACTCAAATATAAATTAATATAAAACAGACTTAAATTACAAGAGTTCATAGGAGATAAACACTTCCTGACTGCCATGTCTAGGACTTGACTTCACATCTGTTGAAATCCATGTGAGTGTTACCTTTAACTTCAGTGGGATCAAGCAGCGCATTAGTTTAATCTTCTGTCCTAAAGCTTGAACTAAGATTCACTAAAGTTAAAGGGATCGAAACAGTTCTATTGTTGATTTATGTGCATAGAGCTCTTAAAAGTAAATTAAAATTATAGTTAGAAGCGAAGAAGTTTGTTTGTAAATTTATGGAAAAAAAATACCATATATACTTGATTAAAAGACAAGGTTTTTCCCCATTTAACATATGGGGTGGGGGGAACCTCTCATTTTACAGTCAAGTATGAGGCAGCATGAGCCAGGCAGCTGCTGCAGCTCTGGCCCTAATATCAGGTCAGAGCCAGTGTCCCAGTTGCTTCCTGCTCCCTGTGCTCCTCTCCTGCAACTTTGGTCCCCCACTGTTCCCCTCCCTCACACCCCTCCTTAGTTTTGTTGTGGTGCTGTCTGGCTTTGTTTCCATTACAGCATGGAGCACAGCCCGGTTCTGTAGTAGCAGTTTTGGTGCTGCATTGCTGCTATAGGGCCAGATTGGAGTCATACATTGTGCCCCAGGTTGCAGCAGAGAAGGAGCCTACCAGTGCTGTAGCAAAGATAAGGGGAGGTGGAGGGGTAGGTGAGGTAGGAGAGGATGGGGGAAGGGTGGGGCAAAGCTGCAGGGGGCAGAAGTGGCATGGAGGGGACGG